GCTGAGATCAGATTCTTCTTCCTTTTTCCTGTGACTGTATTTATTTGTGTCACGATTCTGCATATTTCACCATTTTCTCACAGAAGGAATAAAGCACACAAAAATACTTGTGTATTCCAAAAAAAAGCCCTGGAATATGTAATATAAAATGCTTTTCAAGTTACACTGTTCTCATTTACTTTGCATTTACGGTTGCTTTGCATGCTACCCAGATTGATTTACAGGTCAAATTAATAACTGTGAGACTGCATTGACAAGTCAGGGTGGAATTACAGGAAGAAACAAAGCAACTTCTAACAGCAACAATGAACATGCTTTGTCAGCTAAGTCTTGTTAGAAAAGGACACAGTTTATGCAATATTTTAAGGGAAGGAATACAAATGCATCATGAATAAAAAACTGCATTAACTTGTACCAAGTAAAGGTATGTCTCTATAATAATAAGCAGGGATGGCAGCTTGGCTTCTTACATACAGGAATCAGAGAAAACAAAAAAAAAAGTGCCACAGGAGGTATATATATGCAGGTTTTGAAAAGATTATTTAAGACCAATCCTAATAGGTTTCCTTTTAATTCAAAGGTTTTCTATTGGTTATTGCACTGGAAGAGGGAAGTACAGATCAGCACTACTACTACATGGTTTGTTTTTGTATCCATAAACATCGGAGGAGTTCTGGGGGCATGGGATGGAAGAGGAGGATCTGTTTTACACTATGCCAGTCAGTTATCATTCAAAATCTTGTCATAATTTCCTACCAAGTTTCATTTATAAAGTTCCATTCATCTCTACTGTTATTAACCCAGAAAACACAACATAAGCTGCACAAGTTTCCAAGTAGGAAAGGAAAAAAAGGAAAAATCCTCTAGAAAAGATTAAGTTTGTTATTTGCTAGTTATTTCTCTATTAAAAGCGAGCCCCGGTACCACATTAAATGTGGCCACAATGACAGAGGCAGCCCACATCACTGAAAGCTTGTGGCTTATAAGGTTGGCCTTATTTACCTATCAAATTTTGGACAGAATTTAAGATTCTAACTGATGAAGTCTCACATGATATGAGTCAGAGATTATCAATCTCCTCATACGGTAGTTCCACCATAGCCTTCCATATTGCTACCTAAAACCTAGACTCTCTTTACTGTGAATGAGACAGGGAAGGAATAGGGTGTTTTCTGATGCTGGCAGGATTCTGGAATTGGATTTTCCCTTCTTCCTCTCTCTTTCCCCTTCCCCCCCCCAACTATTCAGAAAGCAAACATCTAATTAGCATTGTCTGAGATGGTTTCACAGAGGACTGAAGTTCAGTGGAATGAAAAGTAACCTATATATAGCTAACTAGTTGAGATGCATTAAAATGATTCAATGAAAATTCCTGACTTCTTGTATTAACAAGTTTGAGTGCATAAAGTCTTAGAATTTCGTAATTACAAGTCTAGATACAGACTAATAGTAAATAACATGCTTATAGAACACAGAGAAATTCTTACTGGACAGAATTCTAAAGGACACAGCACAACAAACACTTACTGCTGTTATCTTCCTTAGAAGCAGCAAGAACTTCCTGGAGTTGACTCAAATTCAGGAATATTTAGATGGATTAATTTGTTACTATCCCAAGCAGTCCCACCCTTCTGAAGGTTGTTGTCCCCTGAGGCAGGTATGGCTGAACCAGGCATAAAGGAGTTCCTGAAATTCCAGTCCATACTAAGCTTTTATGAGCATCTGCACCAGTGAACTGCAGCTGGAAGTGACTAAATTATGGCTGTACATGAGCTGTTCCATATGAGTTACTCACTCTTGCTGAAGAAACAGCACTCTTCTGGTAGGGGGTAGAACACGTACTTCAAGGTAGAAACCAGTTTAGCTGTTTATCTTCAATTCATTGCATGCAAGTCAACATATTCAGTGAGTCACAGCAATTACATGACTTACAAACAAGCTGGCAGAAAAATATACATCTTTGTCAATTACAGAACTCCTCTTTTATTAGGTATTGGATAGAGTAAATTGCATTCCAAGAAGCATAAGCCAGGAAAGCAAATGACATACACATGACAGATCAACACTGAAAAGTCATTAACAGAGCACTCAATTAACCAAGCCATCACAGCTGAACCATCTCCTTAAAATGTTTTCCTGACTAAGCAGCCCTCAGATTGATGAGAGCAGGTTAGGATGAGAGTTTCCAGGTAGGCAGTAAGCAGAAGACAGAAACTATATTTTAAAGGAAGGAGCTGCTCTGAATAGACAGCAGGACTGACCAGCCTGCAAGACAACAAGGCTTCAGGAGCATGGAGAAAGGCTGCATAGCCTGAAAACGCAAAGAGTGAAGTTGGATGCGATGCAATGGCTAAATACTGTAACACCTGACTATTTTCTAGCTTCCGTGGTTACACAAAATCTAGTATCAACATTTGTTCCTTACTTTTCAGTTTCATTTTTCTTGAACAGGAGACTAAGAAACCTTTAGCTCATACCACCAACAAAGACAAGATTCCTGAATTCCTAACACCTACTTTAAGTCTGGGACTATACTCAAGAGAACCAGGGAAACTTGCTATGCTCTGCCCACAGGAACACATGACGAGTCTAATAAAAAAAAATAACTGAGTGATGAGATTAGTGTAGGTTGCCATGCATTTAGGTTACATAGATCCACTGACGACCCATCTATGGAGACATTGTAAATGAAATTGTTTTGAATGAGTAAAATCTCTGAACACCAAATGCTACACAGAGGGAAAAAAAAGGCTGTAAATTAGAGGTGTGACAGATTGCAATCTAACACAACACACTGAAACATTCTAATGCTTATCCACATTTACAAAATCTGACATATGTATTACTATCTTATTTCACAAAATCTCTGATGTGATTTAACATATCTGCACAAGTATATTTCCTTTTAAGGTTCTTTTAAAGGGACCTTTATAAGAAAATCAGATTCTACACTACAGAACTGTGACATTTCTAAAATCCTCCGAGGAATAAGTAAGAATCTCTCTTTGGCAATACAGAAACCTCAACTTTTCTACCTGGATTTACTGTCTTAACATTTCCATTAGTCCAAATCCACTCATTTTATCAGTGATCATAATCTAATATTTACATACTCAATAAAAATGTAACTAATTCTATTAACTTACAATTAATATTTTCATATCAAAGCATCTCAGCGGTTACACATATACCAACAAAAAATCACAGAAAGTGATGCACAGCACAAAGCACCATTGTAACTGCAGTATTCCACAGTAGGCTAGTACTAACATGGAATGCAAGAGTCATGCAGAGCATACAGCAATAATGAGAGAATTTAATGAGAGAAATAATTTTTAATTCTTTTTAGAGACAAAACAGATGGAGGGACAGAAAATAAAGTATCTCTCATATCAAAGTATATTCCCATCAGCTGGCACTCAGGAGATGCAAATTGCTCCTGAATAAACCGAGATCAAGTGTCTGAATTGTGTAGTCTGAATCCATTTTCATGAAATATTATATATATATTAAACACCTGAGATTAATTCCTAACTCTCTGAAAGACAACAGTAAAAACCTACAAAATTCTAATGAGCTGTCATTGCAGAGGTCCTCATTAAAAACAAAATAATTTCATAAATCAAAACTAAATCAAAAATATATGCCTCATTACTGCAGTTAGCTTACACTGGATTTTCTTACATGGTAGTGGCAAATATAATTTTAATCTTTCTAGGACAGGAAACACATAAGAACTTAACAGAATTGCTTAGAAGACTGGCAGTGTCTGGTTATACAAACATAACCAGGCGTTATCAGCAGTAACGTATTACTTGTTTGCAAGTCTGATGATTTCTGAATCATCAACTCTAAATCCTTCTCCACTGCCAATGTAAAAAGCAGAGTCAAAAGAATTATTAGTAAACTTCTTTTGGTAAAAAAAAAAAATAATTCCAAGCTTTGTTTTCTGTACTAAGGTTATTTCTTTGACCTCCTATGCAAAACTCGTGTAAAGAACTCTCAAGTATCACAATCATCTGTCCCATCTGTTTGGGATAATGAGTACCAGTGGAGTCTCAAACCAGCTATCAAAAAAGACATCTTGGACATACTACCACCTGACTGAAGCAATTATTAGTGTAATACAGTAGAATAGAAGAGAAACAAAATCTGTGACCCTGTACATCTACTAATTATATTAGAAATACATTACACTTTAAACATTTGTATTAACTACATTGAAAAACATCCTCTACTTATGTTTAAACTTTGGAGAGTTCAGGGCTTGATGTACTTTGAGTCCTGCAAAGTCTACAAGTGGAATAAGTCGGCAGCACTTATTTGTAATTTCTTCTCTTGGCAGAAATTCAGAGACAACAAAGAATACATCTTCCCTATTTCTGCTTGAAGCTTTAAGCATACTCTGAAAAGAAGCAGTCTAGTGGTACCACTCCAAACCTCTTCAACATCTTTTCTTCCTCTAAAATTTAATCCTACAAGCAAAGCACATGTATAGTTTTTAAAATACAATTCAAAACACAGAAACTGCATAGGCACACCATCACGCTTGACAAAATGGTCATGGAAAAACAGTATAAATTAAACAAAGAATCACAGAATGGTTTGGGTTGGAAGAGACCTTAAAGATCACCTAGTACCACCCCCCCTGCCATGGGCAGGGACAATTAACTTGATGAACTTGAATAACTTTCAATTTTCCTTACTTACCTGTTTAGTCATGCTACAATGCTATGTACTTTATGAAGCACATTAACAGATATGTTTTCCCATGCCCTTTACAAGCAATACAGTCTACCTTGGGAAGGCTGAAAGTCAGAGATGGTTGTGGAACACTAGCCTCTACATCTACATGCCTCTAACAACTTTATTGCTACTAGAAGATAGTTACATATCTGTTTTCTCTACAGACATCTCTCTTTAGTGATCAGCCCTTGTATGCTGATCACTGCACATACTTGACCAGACTCCAGGTTTCATTCTCCGTGAAGCAAGCATTCTTAACCATCAGGTCTGACTGGATTTTTGGTTTTCTTCTCTTTGAATGACTGGGCATTATTTGTAAACCAAAACACAAACTGTAATTATAGAAATAAGTATTTAAAAACTAGCCTCACTGTATATCTGCCTTACCCAATTCCTTTATGAATATCTTGGCAGGCCAAAGTTCTCTAGTGCAACTCTCTGTAGTCGTCTGCATGGCCAAATTTTTCCTCAGACAGCTCTGTGACAAATGCTTCTGTCTTGTTTAACCCTGATAAAGTACTTTCACCCAGCAACTTCTTTTCCTGTAATTTTTACTTTGCCAATTTAAAAGCAGCACGTTGCCTTTGTGAGAGGTTTAGTTTGTTCACCTGCTTCTCCCACAACTTCGTAACAATAGTCCAGTGTTTGCCGAGGCTGTCTTTACTGCTAGTGGGGTCTTTTTTCAGTCAGCCTTGTTAATTTAACTGATAAATCATGCACCTCATGTAGCAATTGCTATTATAGTCATTACATGTGGTCCTAACCCTCTAATGTGCTTAGCTGTTTACTCTTAGAAAGAGCTAAATCATTAATAACTACAAATACACATCTGCCTTGCTCCTTTCTCCCTAGACTCTTTGAACTGTTCTTTGTGTATATTAGGTTATAATGCAGACTAGTTCAGTTAAGAACTAAAATAATTACAAATATTTTCAACTTTGGAAAAAGCCATCGCCGGAAATTAACATATTTTACATTAGGCTTATGAAATATTATTTTTCTACTGAAATACATGAACTATATATAAACTATTATCTACTTGTGGTGACTATTTACCTGAGCACTTTTTTTAAAGCCAGAATTGTCCTTTTGGTTTGTATTCCATTTTTGTAGTAATAACCTGTTTGAAAGAAAAAAAGAATCTAAAGAATTATAGCAGCTTGTCACAGAGGCATACAGTAACTTTGTATCTCTGTTTAGCCATGTCCTTGTGTGACAGAAAAGGAGGTATATAATGAATTTTGAAGCTGTTTGCAAGTACTTTTGCCTGCTATTACTATTGAAATAGCACTTTCTGGTTCTGAATGGCAGTTAGGAAGTGCATCAATGAAGAAACATAAGGATCAATAAAATTTAGCTGTCCTTCACTCTGGTTCTAGGCAGGTATCAAAGCCAGCTCTGAATGATACCAGAAGCAGCAGGGAATGGTGTGCCACCTAAGCCAATTCAGTCTAATGAGATACAGATGGCGTGCAGTGCCAACAGGACTACGCTGTTTCCAGAAACTGACTTAGCTTGTTTGGAGTCTGCTGGAGTATCTCTGCATGGCATCACATTGTATTGTTATCTGTTGTATAATGTTAACAGAAAAAAGGGAAAAAAACTTCATGTTGAGGAAGGATGATGAAGAGAAGATGAGGAAAAGAAAGGGAGACAAACCTGAAGAATGTTGGCAGAACATTCTTATTCTAGGAAGAGTAAAGGAAGCTGAAAATTATAGTAAAGAAGAGGGAAGAAAAAGGGGAAGACAAAGAACAAATTCTGGTGGTCCCAAGACTTGGTAGAGAAAGGAAAAAAATTAAGAGTCAAATTACTTAGGAAAGCAGAAAAAGACTGAGATTGAGAGAGATGATCTTTGAGAGGAGAATTATTTTGTCAGATCCTTTGGTAAATCAGGAAATGTAAGAAGAGTGAAGAGGAAGGCATAGAGAATCTTCCCAGAAAAAGGTTAGCAGAAACTATACAAGCCTTTAGAGGCAAAGAGAAAGAGACTGATGATAACTTGAGAAGTAAATGGGTTGAGAAGGGATTGCTTGAGAACAGAAGATCTCACATTATTCCACGCAGAGAACATAATTCTAACAGGCATAAAATGGATGATGCAGTTAGAGAAGTCAGGATGAGGTAGGATAGAGAGAGCCCACACACATTTTGGAAAATAAAAGTAATCTGTATTTCTGAATAAGAAGTCAGACTCAACAAGAGTCATAGAGTAACATGTACTAAAAAGAACACTGCATCACATTAACAAGAGTCAATTTTCAATAATATATATGAAGAGAAATACATTGATTTGGCAGATGATAGAACTCAGCACAGAGAGGAATAACTAATGTAATTTCTTTTTGACATGAGAAACAGAGGGACAACAACTGAGAGAAAATGACAGCCCTGAAGTTTAACACATTGTTAGAAACTGCTCAGATCCTTTACTATGATGGTAGCTAATTGCATAGGACCTTAAAACTATATCCTTAGATAAGTAATTTTGCAAGCCTCAAAAACCATTAAAATCAACAGTACAAGGAAAGAAAGAGCAATTCTTGTTTAAGTAGCAGATACTGAAAGTCAGCTTGTCTACTTTTCAGGAAATAAAAAAGTAATTATTGAAAGATTCTTGATCAATACCCACCACAAAGATTTTGCCTGCTTTAAAAAACTTCTAGCTTTTGCTACTTCTTGAGTAAGCTTCTTTAAATCATCTCCTTCAAAGTAAGGGAAAACTGGATCCTGAAAACAGAATTAAAATATTTTAACCTCCACCTATTTGTTATTTTCAATTTATACCACCTTAATTAACTGAGCCTAAGCTTTAAATCTCCCTACTCCTGTCTACTTGCAGAGAAGGTCTTGGTCTCTGGATTGTGTATGGTTCTGTTCACTAACATACTTTTCTGCTGTGGCAATCCCTGAGGTCTCCTGCTGGAGCATTAATATGCTAAACACTGTATAAAGATTTTACAATTACATAAATGAAATACAAGATGGTAAGGATAAGAAGGCACATTAAAAGCTAAAGTTAGCTTAAAGACCACAGTGTCCAGATACAAGAGTTTTTTAGCTTGGTCACCTGACCAAGACACCTAGCAGAGAGGCAAAGTCAGATATGAGGATACCTCCCACTGAAACCAAAAGGAGACATCTTAGCAGTCTCGTATTTATTTTTCTTATTATTCTTCTTTTTTAAATGCAGTTTGACTACTAATTAATAACTAAGTTGAAGCAAAACCAAACCCAACCTAACAATTCCAGTCTATTCAACATACATCTTCATCATCAAGCCTGTCTGCCAACATTCTGTGTGCTGCTAATTGTCCATCCACATCTCCAGAACTGCAATGGTATCGTCCTTCAGTCTGGGAAGCAAGCTTCTTCAGAAATTCATTAGCTCTTCTGTTAACAACAAAGTAGTAAGTTACTTATGAAAATTATTTCTCTGAAAACAACAATAGAATAATAATTTCTAATAAATACTCCAAAAATACTACATCAAATCAAATAGTTTGAAGGACATGATTATTTTCTGTGTAATTTCTAGTTGTCAATTGCTAATGAAGAACATATACTGCTTAGCTGTCATAACCTCCAAAGGCAGGCTATTTTTGGACAAGAGGTTCAGTGTAGCAACAGAATCAAAAAAAGACACTAAACCAAGAAATCCAGAAGCCAGACTGCCAGGTATAAGGTAGTATTATTTTACAGTGGAAGAAAACCAAGAGCTGGAAGACTCCATAAAAGGAAAGAACATTTTGTGCATGCCTCATATTTTCTTCTCTTGCCTAAGCCTCTATTACTTGCCATCGCCCAGCAAGAACCATTAGGATGACTGGGTACAGTTGTGATTTTATTCTTATTGCAAGTATACTAGATCACACACTTTTACTGCCATTTATACACAATTTTACAGTTCTATCTCTCAAGCACTAGCATTGCAAAGTCAAAAACAGTCATACATCCATTAATTTCAAGTAAGCTACAAGAACTGATTCCATTCTGGACACTAAAATCTCCACTAGGAGGTTCCTTTGAAAGGAAGCAGAAAATTTTCAGAGGAACTCGTAGTAAGAATTATGTCTTTCTCTCTTATTAGCAGATTTCCTTAACAGACAGTTATGGGCTACTGACCAGTTAAGCAAATTATATGCAAATAAGTTAACTCAAAATATTCACAATTAAAAAACTTCTCAGAAACACTTAAAGTTGGCCTTTTCAACTTAGGACCAATAATTCAAAGTTTTTACCAGAACGGAAGATACATAAACACTTATAACACTCTCTTCCTGTCAAACCTCACTTTCAAAATCAGAAAGACCACAGATTATGTATCAAGAAGTCCACTACTTCTCCCCTCAATGGCTTGAAAAATTACATCCAAACTAACTGTCACCTTTTGAGGGATTTAGCTTTAAGGCAGCAGTACAGGATCTGGGAAGTTTGACTCGGAGCAGTAATGGAGTTTTAAGAAAATACCCCCACATTTGTCTGCCATGCGTTGGTTTGGCTCTCACAGTAGCTCTGTAGAGTGGAAGCTATACTTCTTTAGTAGGAAGCTAATCTAGAAAGTCCAGTCCACAGATCATAGAATCACAGAATGTTTGTGTTGGAAGGGACCTTGAAGTTCAACCCCCTGCCACGGGCAGGGACACCTTCTACCAGACCAGGCTGCTCAAGGCCCCATCCAACCTGGCCTTGAACACTTCCAGGGAGGGGGCATCCACAACTCCGCCAGGCAACCTGTTCCAGCCCAGGTCAGTGTATTACCTTTGTATGCCTCTATAGGGGTCTGTACATGACAGACTAGTGACAGAACGACAGGAATGGTCTCAGTGCTGCAGACTAGCGATGTGTATCACTTCTCAGTGTGCACGAGGGCAACTCTCTCAAGGACAAAAGGTGTGGGAGATGTAGGCCATGTGGCAATTACCTGCACCAGAACAGCCTTAATCCTGGTGTTCAGTGAACTGAGCATGTGGCACATTTTGTAACATAGCCTTTTAACAATAAACAAACTAGTAATTTTAAATTTTGGGTTCTTTTTCTGCTCCTGCAAAGTATCATATACCTGTCTGTACAGCTAAAGGAAATGGTGTGGATTTTAGTATCTTGTTTTTTTCTCAAACTTTCAATTTCATTCAAAATCAGACTGCAACTGGTGTCTGGTTTTCCATCAGTCAATAAATACACCGCCTGTATACCTTGGAAACTGAGAGCCTTCTGAAAAGCAGAAAATAAGCTTAAATAATTAGCACATTTATAAGAAAAGTTATACTTAAGAATGAAAACACTATTCCAATTATTTAAGATAGCTTTATATTTACCACAAGGTTAAACAAATTAGTATTATCTTTTCATTTTCACGCAGTATAAAAGAGATCAAGGATATAAATCTGAAAAATAATCAAGTAGGTAATTTGTAGCATAAGGCAATATATTCATAAGCAGGGCATCACAAAAAAACTGAATAATTGAAATTAGCAAATTAACTGTTTTTTTAGAACTGCAGACAGAAGATTTTTACATCACATTTTGTGGGAGTTAAAGAAGCTTAATAGCTGAAAATCAGACTCAATAGGACTTGGCCTCTTTATATTATGAAAATGTGCTACAGTAATGGACTCAATGGATATTTTTATAATATAGACATGCCTAAGTTCTACTGGACTTGATTCACCATGAATACCAGAATATTTAAGAAGATTCTGCAAGGGTATCTAGAACAAGAGTCATTCATTTAATCAATATTTCTTTTTTGATTCAAATTTTAAATGTCATGAAATTGCAAGTCCTTTCAGTCTCTGTTTTAGATGATTACTACTAGTTAATTTCTACACTAAGAATTTTTATAGCATAAAAGTTTCTTCACCTGTTACTAAAGCTCAAGAATTGCACTCAATACCTATGTGATTCCAGCAAACACTGCTCCTTTAAAATCCCTGTTTGGCTCAGAAAAAATATATTACAGTTGCAGTTGTACATAAGCATCACTTTGAACAGCTGTCTATTTTCTCTTCAGTATTCTTTGAACACAAATATTAACGCAACTATTGATATTTCACATTTTTCTTAAACTGAGTATGAGCAACAAATTCTAGTAGCTATGAGCCCCAGGGACAGAAACAGTGGCTTGATTCCAGAACTGTTCAGTGTTTTGCATGTAAAAATGTACTAGTTTTCACCAAATAATTTTAATAAAATATTATCAGTCAGATCAAAGTGTTTTATCACCACAAGACTTGATGTCTGCTCCAAAATGTGGTACACAATTTACTAACCTGTAAAGCCATAAGGATGCATGTATTACCATGAGCGTGGAATTTGGATATCCACTGCACAGCATCATGACATGTTTTATCAGTTGCCTCTACAAGACATTCCTTCCAACTCTCTGTATTTTCTGCAAATCTCAGCAGGTTAAACCTAAGGAGAAAGATGGTCCATAACATTTAACTGTAACCTATACTATCAGTCACTTCAGACAAGCAAGTTTTGAAATACATTAAAAACAAAACAATAACCAAAACCAGAACCAAGCCAAATGAAAAAAAACCCCAAAACTCAACCAAAAAAAACCACCTCAAAACCAAGAGCCTCATAATAAAGTCTTCAGCTTTGGGAGAGCCAGAAAGCATATCTTGCTTTGCATGAACAGAAAATCCATGGGAATGCTGAGCTCCAAAGAATAAACAGCATCAGCCTATGGCAAGTGAGGCTCAAATCTTAGAGCTGAAAATTAAACTTCAGTTAAAAAGAAGAACAGAAAAAGCAGTTCATGTCATATACATATTATGCACTATCACGTATTAATTACTTGTGTTTGTGCTTCAGTACTGTATAATTCGTAACTATTAAGTAATTTTTTTACATAATAATAAGTTGTGCAGATGTCAGTCTTATCAGTAGTTCATCATACCTGACTTCATTTTTTCTCAGCTGTTCCCAGATAAGGGAGGTAAGTTCTTTTGTGATACGTGGCAAATACGGGTCCATGGAACCAGATGTATCAATTATAACACAGACATTTGCTTCTAAAATGGTACCAAATAATCTTCGGCTTCCTAGGCCAGAATATTAAAACTAATTAAGTGTCATTACATAGGCTTATTTTATTTAACACAGGATTTTATTGAGCATACAGTAAAATCTTCAGTTTTTAGGGGTTATTCTGGGCACATTTCTACATAAAAAATTCTAATCTGTGTGGAAACTAGATAGATTAAAAGTTAATAACAGAAAAGTCTTCTGCCATTTAAAAACTAGCACTATCAAGAATGAATTACTAGCCAATTGTAGAAACTTGTAATTAAACAATTTGTAGCTCCGACTATATAATCCAGCAAAAAATTAAACTGTTTCCCAACAGACACCTTTAAGAACAACAGAGGGATCAGAATACTTTTCCCTAGTAGTGATGCCAAACTTCTATATAGGGTACATTCTTAGCAAAAGAAAGAGAAAAGCTGATTTTGCTTGTATATGTTATTGTATATATTCTTTTCGATAAAAAGCTTCTGACACCAGGAACCTTGTGTTCATGAACACAACATACAAAAAAGAGAAACTTACATCACAGCCCTAATTATTCCAAAGCAAGCTAGATTTATCAGCTACGCAGATGCTGAATTCTCTTGTATTTTCTTATTTAACTGTAATAAAAATACTTCTAAAAATTTCAATGAAATGCAAAATGTACATACTTTATTAATAATTTTATTCTTTATCATTTATATTGTTATTCATATAATTTATTGAGATTTATGTTCAGATATATTCTATTAGAAACAGTAGACGAGAAAATTTTATGTATGTTTAAATTGTGCTTTATAGAAAAACAGATGCACACCAATACCTGACAGAAGCCACTGTATCCTTTGTATATATCGCTGCAACACTTTCTCCAGTTGTTCAATGTAGATTTCCAGTTCTTTAGATTGAAACTGCAGATGTTTCACAACGCCCTGGAAAAATTCAGTTTGTACAAGAGCATCCTACTGTAGGAGATTTGAGCTCAGCTCTTATATACACAATGTCTGCATTAGAAAGCAGGGAGAACAGTTTTTTGTCTTGACTCCTATGAAATACCGTAAGAAAATTTTTGTGACTCTGTTGCTACTAAGTAATTGATTAACCCAAATTAGGAAAGGCTAGTTCTCATCTCAGCCAGTTGTGCTGGGCAACATGATTATATAATCTGATGGGAAAGATGCATCTGTTGCATTATTTCTGACATTTTTAGGATGCAATAGAGCTATATATCTTGGACTTAACTTTCTATGCTTCTTTCCAGTTATTAAACAAACCAAACCAATCAAGATTCAACATATGCCCAGTTTTGACTCCTACGTGATTTTTAAAAGTTTTACTTAAGATTTTAAACTTACTTTTCACGCTGTATGAGCAGAGATGCTGTATGTTCAAAAAAATCCCATTCAGTTTGCACTTCAATCATACTAAACATTTTTTTGTGGTGAATAAAAGAGCTTCTCTAGCTTTCTAATAGAAGGGTGATTTAGAAAGAAGAACAGAGAATAGTGGAGGGAACATCACACTCCCAAGCCACAAACATAGATCAATGTGCATTTTCTTAAACAAATACAAAGCCTTTCAGCGATGTAGGTATATGACATCTGCAAAAGCTTACACTGATTTCTACACTAGGGAAGATAGTACAGTATTTTGCTGATACTTTCTTGTGCAGAGACTCCACAGTTTTCTTTTGGTGAGTACATCCTGGACCAAACAATCTGGGCAATTCCAGTTTAAGCTTTTTAATACTGTACTTGGTCAGCCACTTGTAAGACAAACAAATGGAGAAATTGGTTGTTAGTAAATATTATAACATTGTAAGTGATAACACATTGTACAGAATCACAATTAACATGTTCAAATTAATTCATATGGGTAATTCTAAAATGGCAAATTATTAGTAAGGAGCAAAATACCTCTTTGCTTGAACAGATTTCCTCCGTTTTTGGCAATGCAACAGAAGGAACAGACTTTCTTATGCACATTAGCTTTGAATACTTTTGGTATACTGTACCTAGTAAAGAAAACGAACAAAGAAATATTGGGAGCCCTAGGCTTAAATCATAGGCTTTTTGAATCACATATGACTGTTGATTAAAAAAAACCCACAAAACAAAAAATAAAAAACCCCACCCCAAACCCCACAGACTAGTGTTTCATGTACAATTCCACATCAGAAAAAAATGCAAAGCTTCTATATATCAAAGTACTTTAAAAAATAACTTATTTCTTAAAATTCTCACCTTCAAAAAAATTCCAAACCAAATATCTGATAGTCATCTAAACCATATTGGCAGCAATTTTCCTGAGAACACTCCCCAAAAAAAACCAAACATCAATCCAAAACACCCCACCACTGTTTAAAAAGTGAAACATCACTTCCCCTCACAATTTAAATCACACTGACTTTAACATCCTAACGGTTTTTATTACAAAACACTGATAATAAAAAAGCTTCACGCATTGCATCCTGATAACACATATCCACATTTCTTCCTTTATCAGTATAAAATACTGACACGGAAAACTCTGGCTGCTTCCTCAGTTTATGCTTTCTCTTATTCTCAGTCTGAGGCCATTTTTTAATCATTTGTGCTACAAATGATAATAATTAAAAAAAAGACATTGACTTACTTCAGCTAGATAAAACTTTTAGATGCAACTCTGTTCTCCAGTTCAGAGTTTCCTATTGCCAGAATTACAAATACTATATTTTCTTAGATACTGGTTAAGAAAAATCCATATTATAGAACTACTTATGATACTTTCATAGAAACAGAACCAAAACCTCTACAAATTTATACATTATAATCAGGAAGAATGTCACAAGGCAAAATTTGAAAAGATTGGGGGGTTAGAATAAGCATAGTATTTGTTGGAAAAGCCAATTAACAATGTACAAGGCACCTCATATGCAACTATGAATCCCGATTTGTAAACATTGCTACATATCAACAAATCAGTAGATTTCTAGACTCAAATTTAATGTAAAAAAATGCAGAGGTTAACAAAGATGCAAAGGAAAAACACTGGAAAATTACAAAAATGAAAGAGAAATTATTTGGATGTTAAGAGTGACTGGAATAAATTTAAGAGCTGTTTCATATACAAGGAGCAGTTGCAAGAGTCAGCACTTCAGATAACCAGACATCTGTATTGTAGTTTTCCTTCATTACTAGATCATAAATAAATCAAGTGGAACAGCACACTAATTACAATGGTATCTAACAGTATTAGCAGAAATGTATACATTGAACTAATAACATAATAAATCTCTGAATTGTTGAACCTTTGGAAAAAAACAGAATATTAATTGAAAGCCCAGAGAAGCTAGGTTCTAATTACGGCTTCAAGTATGGGATAAAGTGGGGCTCTACTTGCCACCACATACATTTGACATTTCCTGATATAGGATGAGTATTCAACCATATGACCTGGAAATAATTATAGAGCTGTGCAGTGTTCCTTCCTCTTACAACCAAAAAGAAAGCTAGACACATTACAGCTAAAACTCGCACCGAAGTAACTTCGAAACAATTGCAATGTTTCCTATCAGTCTTATTAAAGATTAGAATTGCAAGTGTTTTTAAAAGCTTTAATTAAATTTCTAATTTAATACTGTCTTTTAAGCAAAACCCAAAGACACTAATGACAAAAAGCCCCTAATCCATACAGACCTGATGGAATTTCTGCTTTGGCACTAGTAGGACGCCATGTCATTACTCTTACGGAAGCATTTCTCTCTGCATCATGGTTCTCTTTAATATACTATAAGCACATATAATTAAAAAAAAATTAAAGATATTTCAATTGGATTGTAACTGCATTATTCAAAACTGAAACTATCCTTCATTATTCTTTAATTCCTGATTTACTCTGGCTCTTCTGACAAGTCAGCAGATTGCCATGACAACTTGTTAATTTGCTGTTTCTTGCTAGGTTAAGTACCTCTAATTGCTTTGTTTTAATTATCTTGCTGCCATAAAACTAAAGACTAACATCTACAGGCAGACAAGTCTGGACCATTTTTGCCGCTTGAAGGAGCAGTCTGCTATGGTATGGCACTGTTTTATAGAATACAGTATATAGCATTTTCCTCAGTTTTACTGAATATTGGAAACCTAGTGCTGACAACAATAACTTTTCATTTAAGTATGGTGCAGAGGGTTGCTGTAGAGGCTGAACACTCTGCTAAACACTTAAGTTTAACGCTGTTGCAGGATCAAACTTTTGCTGTGGCACAGAACATTCAACAAACTGATATTTAATTTAATATACAGCTCTCCTGCAAATATCACCAAGTATCTACAAACAAACCTGTATCAGTTTTCTACAAGTCTAATCCCTGTAAAACTATGCTGTGTAGTCGTATCTCTGAGTGATTTTTCCTGCATTTGTGAAGAGGTTTTGAGAATATACTAGTTTTGATAAAATAGCATGGAAGACCTGTTTGAGCTTACCTCCAAAGGTCTTTGCAACAAGAACACAGCTACACTTAAGAGTGCCATTCTCTTTTCAAATGAGAAAATTTCAGGTCAGAAGTTAAGTACATCCTTTGCCATAGGCAGTTCTGTGTCTAGTCATTCATACATCAAAGTGGTAAGCACTGGCACTGGCCATTTATGTATATTACAGATTTGCACACCCACTCAAACAGATACATACACAGTCAAACTGAAAAAGGCAAACATTAGCAAAATCCCAAAGGGCCTAGTAGGTTAACTCCACAGTAACAAGCACAGTGGGCAGGAAACAAATCCTGAATTCTGATTGTTTTATGCTGGCTCTCTGTGTGGCTGAAGACATGCTATTCAGCTGCTGCTCTCATCTCTGTAAATGAGTAGGATACCATAAAATTCAGTACTTGCTAGAAGGACTTGTAAAATAGACGTAACTGAGCAAAGCACACTTCTGCTTTGCCTTTGCTTTCATTAAACACTAATTTTTTTAAGTCAGACGAGGGATTATTTAGACAATTTTAGACACTACAATGTGGTTCTGTTATAATTACTTAGCAGGAGTTAATAAGATGTCATTTTTGTTTATGTAGCATTCTGAATGCAAATTTAAATGTAAATTAAAAATAATACCACAGTGCTGTTTTACATCCTTGGAATCTTCAGCCTAAGCACTTATAAAGAGCAGCCTCTGATAGGTGGATAGGATCCCTAATTAAAAGACAAAACATCTTAAAAATGGAAACATTTCAAACCATTCTAGCCAGGCTCAGAGCCGTGTGTCTGGGAGATGGCAACTTCTGTGGCCTTCTTTTCTCTTTCTTCATAAGCACATTTGAGTCTCTTTCTGCTACAAGTGGATTAAGAGACTGATTTACTGAACGTTTCTTTAAGGAATCCACTAGGAATGCACACTAAAATAGAAATTCACATTATTTAGTAATTCATATAATATATTTGAAATTTAAGTAAATGACATTTCAAAGACAGGCATTCTGTATTTATTACTTTATTAATAAATAATATTCATACCAAATTTACTAATCTGGTAACGCTTAACACCTCTGACTGAATAGGAACCCCTTCGTGCTGTGCTTGCTCAAACACATAAGAGAGAAATCCTTCCTCCTGTAAGCAACAGTTCGAAAAGAAAGGGCAACAATATGTGTACAAAGACCAGAACAAACTGGAAGAAGATGAACCAAGTATATGCACCTATTAAATGATAACAAAATATTTTAAGATCCCATTGAATAACCAACCAACTCTTCATTTTAAAATTACTTTTGTGACTCAGACTTGCATGCAACAAGGTGCTCAGGCTTCTTCTTCTTCTTCTTCACACTGGCTATGTAATTACAATCACACAATTGTAAGAAGCAACAACCATACTGCCAGGCTGGCTATAGCGTCTCAGTCACTTTGTTATATATCTTTGGAAGAAGTCATGTGCATGTAATATGGAGAGATACGGTCTAGTTCTATACCCTCAGTACACTTCAGAAAACAATTGTTTTAGAATTAAACACACATTGTGCCAAAGACAACCCCTCCCTCCCTATGACTTATAGGAACATAGTATTACATGTATTTTATAACAGATAGATAACTCTTCAATAGATTTCTTTTTATTTATATGTAATTCTAATGAGAAGTTAATTCTACTTGAAAAGAATTCATCATAGGATGGCAATAAAAAGGAGAATCACTTCAACTGCAGACTCCTTGTATTTGATAAGAATCATGGCCACTCCAACATCAATCACTGCAGCGCTATTGTACAACAGCTCTTTAGTCCATATTTACTCTACAGTGACTATTCTCACGCTCTAGAGCATTCCTGCCCACCTTACAGAGTTTTTAATTTTGTCCAATCCTCTGCACTGTCAGCTGAACAAATGCTGTTGATTTTTTTTTTTCCTGAAGAAAAATGTAACTTTAAAAGATACATATAATTCATACCTTTTGGGAGTAGTTGTTTGCTTTTTCCATTTCAGACACAATAATAGTGATATCATCACTTTCAAAAATACCTGATGATCAAATATATGCTAATTAGTGTGGGTTTTTTGAGTGTACAAAACATATCCTTTTCTAAGCGCATAACGATTTGTAGAGCTTGCCAAATGCCAATTAAGACTCAAAAAGCCTTTGTCTCCTGTAAGCCAGGCAGTCTGGACCTACCACATTAGTAATTACATTTTAAATGTGCACCTTTAAAATATCTAGCAGAAAATAATGAATTCAAGCAGGAAAAAAAAAATTTCCTCCATTAAGGCTGCATTATAATATTCTGCAATACAAATTAAACCCTCAATCAAACTAGGACTTCTGTTTATATATCAGTGCTAGTACAGCATTAGCATATCCTAAAAAAGTAAACTACTTGATTGGAGGAAAAAAATTAATAAATATTACTTAATTAATGAAAAAGTAGTATGTGCTGACTTTCCTTTTCACGTACCTGCTTCTCCAAACCAATGAAATCTCCCATTGGCTGCCTGTACTATTTCTTTAAAAGCAATGGCAGTTTCAGTTGGGTTAGCATAGCGGGCTGGCATAATCCCATTGGAGTATATGTCCTCCATTACACTGAACAAACAGACATGAAGATGCAAATCAAAACCTCTGCAAACCTCAGCCAAATAAGCACTGATTGTGCACTGCAAGACAGAAGATAAAAAAAAAGGAAAAAAAAAACCAAAAAAAAATTAGTAGTGACCTTCTACTTCAGACAAGCTTCCATCTACGCCACTGGATCTTGAACTGCTAAACTGCTAAACACTCCCAACCTGAGCAATTTAGTACAGGAACACACCCTGAGTAGCTGAATGCCTCCTCAAATCATGCATATACACAAAAACTGATGTCATTACTACTGACAATGGCAACAGCATTGCTGCAACCAAGAAGTGAGATGGGATAGCTACGGGAATCAAAGATTCAGGTTATGGACTGCAAGGTAGCCATGCACTGAAGCAAAGTAGGGATAGAACTATTCATTTGTCTTTTTGTACAAATCCTTCATTTTCTTGTTATCTACATGGACTTTTAATAATTTCTTAGGTTTGCACAGAATTTCCAGAAGTTTGGTAAGAAAAGCAAGCAACATCCTGCTGTACACTCATGGTTATTCCAGTTGGATTATCGTATGTTCAGAAACTCCAGGCTGTGCGAGTGGCTTAGCAGCCACAGAGCACATGCACTACAAATATATACCCAAGCAATGGGTTACTCTCATTAAAATTAGGCACTGTCTTTAAATAGTGTACTACGGAGTTCCACCATAAAATTATTTGTGGCTTTGTTCCCATGAGTTACAGGATAATTATATCATACGAAAAATCGGAGTTGGTTTGTTCAAACTCAGAAATCTGCAGTGAAATGATAGCCAGAACTGGAGTGGGAAAGGAGTCCTAAGAACACCTCTTGATTTTTTTATGATTCACATATTATTAGTAATTGCTACCTCCAACACATAGACAGCGATTGCAGAAATGGAAGTATGAGATCCTGACAGTTATGCTGGCTTAGATACGTAAAGGAGCAGTATTCTGCCAAGAAGGTATGGTGAGTAGCCAAAAGAACACACACAGACACACAAAAAAAGTTGAGATTAATTCTGATAAAAACTTACAGAAGAGTTGCAACCATGATAATACTTACTGTTTCCTGATCAGGTATTCCAGTAGTCAACAGGTAAAGTCCTTGTGATTTGTGTCTGTCTTTTAAGTCTACTTCCACAGCTCTTTTGAGAGCACTCAAGAAATTTCTACTTCCTTTGCACTGCAAGTTCAACACCCACCTAAAAGAAGGTGTTTACAGTTCAAAGAATGAAGCACAAAAAGTTTTGTTTCTGCTTAAAGCAATAAAAAGAACTCAGAATCTTAAATAACACTGCACTGGAGTTTAAAATTTCTTATAACGACAGAGCAAAAACAGATTATATAATGACCCAAATTATTTGTTCTAGTTTCTGTATTGACACCATGGGAACCTATTTTTTAAGATAAGATTCAGAGCACAGCGATGAAAGAATTCTCTCTTATGCAGAAAAAATGAAATATAGAAGAACTTACAGGAATAACAATGAAACCACAGAGGTATAATGAAATCACTGAGGGTGTAATTCCACAAACAGAAATCTGGGATTTGTTTCCAGTGTATGTGGGGAAAAAAAAGCCAAAACAAAACGTAGTTCAGCTTTCACAGCCCAGTTGAATTTGAAGCAGTTTTCAATTCTTCATGTAACCTGTGCATTTCTTACACAGACACTTCTATATCTGTGCATATATAAATATATATATTCTGTATACGCATGAAATACAAAGTCACTAGGACATATTAAACTTTATAATGCTGTTTTTGTAACAAACCATCACAATCAGTGTAGAACAGTTCATGGCAAAGTATTTTCCTTACATGATAAATTCATCAATTTTCTTAATTGTTCACAATGCTGTTTAAATCTGTTTCTCTATTCTGTTTCATGGTATCTACGATCACTTAATTCAGATGTATGGAAGAGTTATTTGATCCTACCTCCAAGCATTTTGTAAGTTTTCTGGTTGGGAAGGAACCAGTTCCAGCTGCCAAGGCACAACATCACTCCCAAATCTTTCATGGAAAGATAACAGCAATTAATTTTCAGACTATTTAGAACAAACAAAAAGACAGAGTAAATTAACTAAAAAAGAAAAATCTGACTTGGGGTATTACAGATGTAAAATTGCCTGATGCTAACTACTTTGTATGTCAAACAATTTAATTATTCACATTTATCCATTACTCAGGGGTTGTCAGATTTTCAAAGTAGTGGGCCACACTACACTCTTCTTTCCTGAACAGGATACTAAGTGAGCTGGTAAAAGCTCAGGGGAAGTATTGCAACAAAACAACCCCAACCCTTAGACGCTGCCTGTATCTGTCTTGTGAGGTAACAGTTCTGCTCTCCCATCAGGCTTGTAACTCCATGAGCTGCTGTCTCTTGCTTTTACCTAACATTCAGAAATCTGCCCATCTGTTGTTCAGCAGCTGTGACATGTGTTTCTGACTACCAGTGTCAAGTACAAAATTTTAGTACTATTACATACTAAAAAAAGCATTGGAGTTACTGTAAAATTTAAAGGGTGTTCTCAGTTATGGTACCTGAGACACCTCCAGAATCCCCTTCCAGTAAAAGTTTCTGAGATGTGAATTGATTATGAACAACATAGCAGGAAGAGAATTTGTTGTGGGTATGATATGAACAGTTTCAGTGAGGCTCACCCAGAACAGTGATTTTTTAATTACTTATCTGGTCTCTGTACATCTGATCCATATACCTATCAAAAATAATCAATCAGTGCTACTCTTGCAATTACTTCATCATAAAATGTTAAATACAATTTAAAAAACCTGAAGTATGCCCATTAGCAACTACACTCTCTCAGTATATTTCTTTCATTGCAATATAATTATTATAAAAGAATCTTAAATGATTGCTTACGCTATAATATTGAAGTAATCCTTATTTGACATTTGTTCCTCAAGTAAAAGTCGTAAAAAATGTTGGATATGGATGATGTACATGCAGTTTGTCACTGATATATCAACAAGTATAACCACCCTATATAAGAAATACATTATTTGTAAAAAGTATATATATATATTATCTTGCTTAATTACATATTCTTATCCTCATTGTGCTCTAAGTCACCAGGGAAAGTATCTTCTAGATATATATCTAAATGTATAAACACCGAATCTATATTAAAAAACAATATCTGGAAAACATAAGGTGATATTTTTAAAGAAACAGTAACAATATTGGAAAAGTCCTTCATAAGTTATGCAATAATCAGAGTACTGGTACATGTAGTGCCATAATAGCTGTTGAACCCTAAACAGGTCCACTTCCTCTCTGTACTTGAATATACAAAATACATCTGAAACATATGGCTTACTTGCTAAATAACTCAAATTTCAGAGTTTCATTCTGTGTCAGGGAAATTGCAGTTTTGCTTTGACTGATGATCATTGGATTCAGTAAATTCACTGGAGCATTAAAAAACTGAGTATCAATATCTGTTTTCAAAAGTGGATTGCTTACACTGATCATATCTGCAACTGCTATCTCTACTGCTGTCTGACCATTTTCTGCTCTGCATTACTTGGTGCTGACTTACATACAAAGCAAAGGCTTACAAACAAGAACTATCACCAATACAAAAAAAAAGGGCTATCAAAGTATGATACCTCCTTTCACAAACGTTTCCCCATATTCTTCTGCTAGCAACAGATAGCCAGTCAATTTGTTTCTTATAGATTCTCACCATTTTAGCTAGCAGGTTCTGTGGATAAAATATAGAATATTTACGTTAAAAATAAAAAGTTCAAGTAAGTATTTTATCGTCAAATACTTAACCTAGAAGCAACATGACAGCATAATACTGAAAAAAATTAATAACTTTCATTCATTTTAACAGCAGTAATTCATTCTTAGTAAAGGTAAGAGAATACAGTCCCTGAGAAAAACATAATATCATAAAAGAGCAACAAAGGGTCTAAAGGCCTAAAGCCTCCTCTCATTTCCCCTTGCTAGCACATCCCAAAATAGTGGTCAAGCACTATTCAGTTAAAAATACAGTTTTTGCAAGCTTAACATTTCTTCAATAGCAATTTTAGGCAGCGGTCGTAATAAGAAAAAATACACAAAATCAACACTACATTTTCAAACACATCATTCTTTAACACAGTATCCATTTGGAAACATTAAAGCAATTTGTTCAAACTCTATAGAATATGATCTTTGCGATTATATGTATGCATTTTTGTTGCATACACTACTTCCTACAATGTTCCTGCTATGCCTTGAGTCCTTCTTGGTCTAGCCAGCAACAATTAGATATTCTTGTTTGACTTTCAAAGAGATAAAGCAAAATAATTTGTTTTGTTTTTTTTTTAAAGTGGTTAAACCAAGATGAAAGGAGACAGTTCTGTTAGCAAGCAAGCAAAGCAAGCAGGAGTACTCTTTTGTGTTGTATCCTTTCAATGTACATGTGTGGGTGAAACAATATAAATACATTCCTGCACATAGATCGCAAAATGCAAACTACTGTATTTATGAGCAGCACTGATGGACTCTCTCTTAGCCTCCTTCATCACTACCATAAGTATCTGGGTCCCAAGTCTGACCAGATCACTGCAGACTCACATGGACAGCTGTCTGCACATGAATCCCTGCAGTACTTATGTAACAGGACAATTAATGTGGAATAATTAGATGGTAATCTAGCTCTGATAAAGCCACATCCCTATAGACAACTCACCTGATAGTTGTATAATACTGGCAGGTCAATGTGGATATTTTTCACAGTTCCATCGTACCACTCAAACTGCATCATTGCTTTCTAGAAGGATAAATAACCCAGTTACATGTTTACAGAAGCCTATATGAACTACACTAACATGGAATTAATTACTCAATCATTCCTAAGAATAGCATAATTATCAGATTTCAATCTACGACTCAAATTTCAGTTAAGGCCTGTAGAATTTCACTAACGTACGAAGTACTGATTTTAATTAGAAAAAGATAGCAATAGAAAGAAAGAAACAACAAAACCCAAGAAAAAGAAAATGTCCTCATCACTTACCTCATGCAGAGTTGATGATACTGTTTTTTTAAGAATAGGTACAAATTCTTCCACAGTAGAGAAAGCATTGGGAGCCAAAACTTGATAAAGGTTTAACTTTTTTGCTATAGCAAGGAACAAAGAAATTAAATAAAACACATGCTCTGACTTTAATTCATGCTTCATACCTGTTAAACTTTTCTCTGTGCTACCTTTCAATCCATTTGTCTTTAACCAGTCTATTGATGTTTTGGCCAGGGCACATGGTGCTTTAATAACTAATGGTCCTTCATGTTTTGGAGGCTTTAGCAAGAAGCTGGAAGGTGCTGTATTTGCAAATTCTGTGGAAACCTAAAACAGATTTAAAAAAACCTCTTGCAAGTTGTAGCATATTTTTTTTTTACCCTCAATCTAAAATATCCAGCACAGAATATCAGTTTTACTTACATTCACGAAAGTGCTGGGACAAGCAAAATACTTTGAAAATAGGTTCTCCTAAAAATGGGTTTTCAGGCACTATGTTCCACTAATTCTACTGTGCTTGCCACAATGCAAAAACCCATAGGGAAATCAAAACATGATGGCTACACATACTGGCATGAAAACAGTCAATCACTTTTCT